TTACTGTTTATGTGTGTAGTGACTCCACTCTTATGAGAAGGATGCGACTGGCACAGGACAAATTAGTTTTTGTTAAGCGTGAGTTTGACCACGTACTTGTTTTGCGTATTATTTCGTCTTTCTCAAAGTACTTGGGCCTCCCCTCTACACTTGGTTTGCACAAAAGTTGGCATTAGTTGAAGACTATGAGGTGACTACAGAGCAGTAACGGCAGATACTCAATGTTCAGCCTCTGAACCTGTATACAGCACGGCATTGAGTCTGCCCGGCCAATTTTTCACATGACGGGGCAGCGATTTTCTTTATATCAGATAAGTCTAACGACTATCTGTGTATATGCAAACACTGCCTCCATTGTCAACTCATATACAGCATCGGTAGGTCGCTACACCTCGAGAGTTTTCTTCCTATTCACATGTTCTCATTCGAGTAGATTCGGTGCGCAAACCTTTGCAACAGCCTTAAGAAGGACCTTCTCATATGATTTTCTGTCACGAAAAGACCCTTAATGTTTATCAGCATGGCCGCATCAAGACCGTCAGAAGTGTTTGCCTCAAGCCAGCACACGTCGATAACAGTGCCCTGCATTGATAGGCCGAGATTCAATGCTAGACTCGTCCAACTCACTAGCAGGATCCCTATTTCTCCTTCCAGTCCCACGCTAGGTCCCTCAGAGACCTCATTCTCACGTCCCAGTCAGCGACACGTGCCATACGCATCTTAATAAACAAGGACGGTGTACTTTCGACAAGTGAAAAAAATTGCCCCACCTGCTAAGGCAGAGATATGTTGTGTCATTTATCCGTTTGCTAATATCACCTGATACAAACATTACAATAATCAGAATATGACAACGTGCTATTGGTCTATTGACAACTGCCATGTTACTGTTGGTTCCGTATTCTCTTTCTGCTTCTGTTGAGTTCAGACATTTACTAATCGATTCAAATCAAATATTGCAAACATACATAGTTTACACACAAAATTGCTTGATGAAATCACACCAGTTAAGGGAAAATAAATATGATGCACAAATAGGCTTATAGTGCCTATGAATAGGAACACTGATAATCATAAGCTAGAAACTGAGTACTAATAAGACAGCATTAGGTATATATAAATCATCTAATCACTTAATAATCATAAAGTAAGGATATATATCTGATAGAAATTCATAAGTAAATTCTGAGGGTTACCATCTTTTTAATCTCCGTCTCAGTAAATTAGGGTACAGGAGCCTGATCTGCTAACCAAAAGTCCTAAAGGTTCATACAAGTTTGGAGCAACACAACTTCTATTACACAATGAGTCTAATACGCATCAGAGTAAAGTGAGCTGTGTTAATCCAGTGTTGAATGTAAAAAGTGTTCATTTTGGCTTCATTCCAACAGATGCTCATTAAGCTATATAACAGAGTTTCGAGGGAGAGCATGAGTTCTGTGGTATCAGAATATTCGTAGGATAGATAGTGAGTGTTTCTCGAAAATCAATTCATGACCTGTGCCATATGAAAACCTCATCGGGAAATATAGGAGCCTACGGAAAAGATCTAGTATACGGTATTTACCTCAGCATCTGATTCCAAATATGGGGAAACCAAGAAAGAATTGTACTATAATCCATCTCTCTACAAGATATGTTAGCCTATTACTAAGTGAAATAACTTCTAGCGGGTAGAATAGTAGTACCTCTTTAAAAACTCCTGAAAACTACAATATTTATCTAAGTACAAGGCTGCTATGACAAAACGGAGTCCGCATTGTATATGCTTACTCTTAACTGAATCCAAATGTACTCAGGTTTAACAAACGACAACAACCTACATAGGTTGTTTAGAAACTCCTCTAATCATGATACTTTAAAAATCTTTGTCTACAATCAACACTGAATTTTAGTAATCCTACAGTTAGTAGTTCTTATATTATTGGTTTGATGGTTGTAAGAGGAGGCATCGGATCCACGAATTCCGAAGAAACTCGGCTTTCATCATGAGGCGTCATGACTCTTCTAAATGATTAGAGTACTTTGAAGAACTCTTGAATACACTAACCCCAGTAAACACACCCAAAATCGAAGCAGCACTCAAAATCTTCCCAATTAATGTTGACCCACCGACAATTGAAGAGATTAGCCTGGCCATCAGACAAGTCAAACACTGGAAACAGACCTAAAAGTAACTGCAAAGATGTTCCGCACTCTCTTCAGCAAGATTTGGGAAAGACAACAAGCGCCGAAAAATTGGAACGAATAACACCTCATAAAGATATCAAGGAAAGGAAATCTTATCAAATGTGAGATCTGCAAGGCGTAATACACCGACCACGTGTCATTGTGGAACAATCAATTAAATGGAATTCACCAGGCTTTTCTACACCATGTTGTGCCTGAGGAGATGGTCAACAACATTGTCTGAACTGAAAAATTATGCATGGAGGACAGCTCACAGTCTTATTCCAACTGGAGAACTGTCAGGAAAGGTTGCTAACTCCCCCTTTTTCACTTTCTCCAGGTGGTCGCTTGGGTTATGGATACGCCAACATCACAGGAGAAGCAAGGGATACATTGAACAACGCGGATGCACATGGATCATCTGGACTTAACCGGTTATCCGACTCTTCCATCCTTCAAGCGACAACAAATGCAACAAAAGTCGACCAGTGTAGCAACAGCCTTAGAAGCAGTTGGTCACAACATACACAAGGGACAAAGCAAGATCCACCGATACAACACACCATGCACCATCCAGATCAAACCTGATGGTGAAGCTTTAGAAGATGTAAAAACGTAGAATATCTGGGCAGCATCATTGATGAGCATGGTGGATCTGATGCAGATGTGAAGACACGGATCGATAGAACAAGGAAAGCATTTCTACAACAGAAGAACAACAACTTTATACAACCATCGGCCAAAATCAAAGTCACAATTTTCAGTGCATATGTTAGGATGGTCCAATTGTGTGAGGCGGAAACTTGGAGAACCATGAAATTCATCTTACGGAAGAAACAAGTATTTATCAACAGTTATCTACTCAAAATACTGAAGATCCGTTGGCCAGACAACAACCTACTGTCGCAGATAGTAATAAGACTAAACCCGATTCCAACAGAGGACAAATTCAGAAGCACTATTTATGGATAGGACATAGGTTTAGGAAAGGACCTAACTAAGTCTCAAGACAAGCTTTCACCTGGAATCCTTAAAGCCAAAGGTAAAGAGAAAAACCGAAAAACACACTGCATAGGGAATCGGAAGCAGATATAAATGACTGAACAGCGACTGGGTAAAAATGAAAAAGGAGGTCCGGAACTGCATTGGTTGGGGGCAGTGACCTGTGCTCCATTATGGGTGACAAGCGCAAGTACGCAAGTAAGTACAGACAGTCTCCAGATAAAATTCGAACGTTCAACTTTTTAGAGATAAACGATCTGAAAATTTTTAAAGTCCATAGTGTAAATGAATTTTCTACTCCAACAGTTCACTTCGTTTCGAATAGGTGCAGTTTGGTACGCGCTCCCCCCGAACCCGAAACCAAAACACAATAATTCTGGGAGAAAACGGTCCAAACAATATTACACCTTCTATTTCCAATTTACCGCGGTGGCTATCCGTTTCTGGAAGAATAAGTGCCTTCAGTCCGTACTGTTGAAATTTCAAATCCAGATATGGCTGTAGCCATATTAAATATCAAATTTAAACAACATATGTACAGTTCAGAAGCAAACATAAAAACTTCAATATAAGTACAAGATATAGAAATAATAACAATATACAATGATAAAATCTCAAAATGGAATCAAATAGAGTACCAAAATGTCAACAGACAGAGTCAGTCATATCATAACACAAATATATATACATGGAGGGATTTTCCGAAAAACAAAACATTCAAAATAGATTCTACACATACATATGTTTAGTTTTTTCACGTCAGTAAAAGCATGATTATTGATGCTGACATAAATTATAAAGATGAAGTTTTTATGCGAGAAATAAGTTTTGAAGCCAGACAATGACTTCAAAGTATATCGCGAATTATAAATTTGCCACAACGACGGAAATTATTTTTGCTTGAAGTAATCGGAAAAATCTGTAGTGTATTGGGTTTATCTTTATTCAAACAAGGAGAATCGGAATATTTTGTATCATTATCAAAAAGATCGTCATTATTATCTCTAAAAGCGTCATAGAAGTCTTCAGGTGTCTAAAAGTACTGGAAGGAATCGATTTCAGTTAATATATAATTTGTGATTAGTCAGGCTTTCGAGGAATCGAAAACCTAATTATTCATTGAAAGTAGACTTAAAGGCCTGTGTAATAATTCCCCGAGTGAAATTCCTGATTTTTTAATTCTTAAACCTGGAAACGTACCGAAAGAGCAATAATTGAGCGCAAAGAAATCAAGTGGTTTATGCCAGCAAGTGAAAAAGATATTGGACATCGGATCTGGTGCAATGTGCTCCATCATAAGATTCCACTGGTATGACATGGATTGATCAGTTAGAAACAGTTTCAATTTATCAAGTAGGTGGGAAATTCCCTAGTCAAATCATATAAGACTCTTGCAGATTATAAGATTTTATTGCAATGGAACTAATGAAATAGGTAGCCATTACTTCTCTTCGTGGTTATGCAAAACTTCTCGAGCAATTTACTACTTCTGTCAGTGATGTACTGGTAGTTAACTTTGTAACGTTATTAGAGCACGTGGCTACTGTAATGTCAAACGTGATGACTTAAAAGAACACAGAATTAGTAGCCTCTCAATATAACAACAGCAACTGGACAAAGGAAAGTGAAATAGTATGAAGAATTCTGTTTTAGAGCGAAGAGCCGAGAATTAAACTAGAGAAATATTCTCAGACTGATGAAGCGATGATTAAAAATCTGAATTTAAAAAGAATAGAAGTAGCTGCTGATCAAAATTTTACATCACAGTGCTTTTTGTAGGAACCGGAAATTTGTTTTATCCATGAACATCGTAGTTACAACTGACCTTCATTAATCTGACCTTTTAAAAACGTAAAGTTTAGATGAAGTTGAAACGTTTTCTCCTACGCTATTATCCACCAGGTAAGTTTTGGATTTGGAGTATAATATTCATTTCATGCAAGGAATTATACTTGATTATGAACAGGGTGGAGCTATGAAAACAAAATCCATAGATCTTCTGGAGTTGACACCTGAGTAAATTTACAACTCACTTTAATCTTTTCTTCACAGAAGCGATACTGAAGAAGTCCTGAAAGAATTATGTAGCAAGGAACCCTTGATAACTGAGAAGCGGAAAACACAGGTTCAAGAGCTAATTGAACGTCTGAAATCCAAGCTCTGTCGTGGTAGTAAAACCAAATTCGGCCAGTATAAGGTAATATAAGCCACACCCTTTACTGATTTCTTAGATATTGCGTGCACATATTTTACCTTTGACCAATGTTGCTTTCAACAAAAGTGGGAGCCAGTAAGTCATTTAACCTATAATGTTTTATGGGGACCTACGTGATAAAACCATATTTTCATCTTATTTATTACTTACTCGATGCAGGTACCTTGTGACATCTCCGCAGCCTACCAGCTGTGTACTTATTCACGGAGAATGTTAAGTAAAAGTCTCATCTTCTCAAACGTCCCTGCATAGTTCTCAATGGGACAACTGTTCCATAAGTGGAAGCGAATAGAATTGTAATAAATTAACAATAACTATGAAAAAGTAAAACATAAAGCACAGTTTACTCCTCGAACAATAGCTCATAAGTAGGTAAATAAGAAAATTCAGTAGTTTTGGCTTTTAATAATTATATAAAGAGCACAGCCTATGTAGTACTGTTTTGTACGTTTATCCTTGTTTAATATTCATCTGCTTTTTTTCGTTAGGATTTCGATCTTTGAAATTTTTCGTAATCTTATTCCATGTAAAATGAGTTAGTAGCTTAAGTACGAGATCAGTGGCTTCATTTAGTGGCAATAATCAAGTAAGACGTTTGTTTTAGAAGATGAGCAAATTAGAAGGAAGTGTGACTGGTAGAGAGAGGTGGATCATTTCGAAGTTCCGTGTAAGAATCATGAATCGGTTGATGAAACTATGACCTCCCTGTAACATGGGTTATCAGGGCATGTTTCTCATGTTTAGCAGCAGAATCTTGATATTTTTAATATCCAAAGATACATGTATAATGCTTCCAGTATCACTCTATGCTCCATTTTCCACCGCCAAAATCGTTCATTTCTAATTAGGTCATGTTATACCATTATTTACAACTAAACAATTTTGCAAGCGAAAGTAACAAATATGGGAAAGTCTTAAGTTTAAAGTGATAAAACTGTAAAGTAATATTACTGAGTAAATCCAAGGATGATTTGTGATTGCACTGCCTTTTCATGATTCATTTACAGCTAGATTAACGGCTACATTTGTTTAAGACGAACTAAGCTGTATTTAAAAATATTAATTTCAATAGTTTACCTTGTAAACACACTTACCTCATTTTACAATTAAGAATCTTTACATAACATAGCTAAAAGTTGTCTAAGCAATAAGGTTACTCGTTTTTAAAATGTAAATACGTGTCACAAAAGATCAAAACAATTAATTTTGTATATCACTAACACTCCAATAGATTAAGTAATCGCTCTACATGTTGCATTCAAAATCTCTTTAGTATCCAAGATTTGCATCAGATATACTATTCAAATATCAGTGCCTTTAATGAAGATCCCCTGTTGCATCCAAAACAGTGGACTTTAAGGCGGTTAACTTTACTTGTTACCCTTACACTTAATAAGAATATTTATGAGAAACCCTTGTTTTTACTTGTTTTGAGGAAAAACACTTCTGTATGACATTTTATTTACGAACCACTAGTTCGTATTGGTTTAGAAAGAAATGAAGGAGAAACATAAATAGCAAGTTGGAGTAAAAATAAATAACAATATACATAAAATTAACAGGACTGGGGCAGACTTTACTACCATGAAGGATAGAAAGTTTATGGAGAAATATCATCCTGTCTCCTTAGTAAAAGTATACTTCTAAAATTCTGTACATTCAGTTCCTCATCTGAATAAACTTACTTAATGGATATTCGTTTTTTGTTCTCCCATAGCTGGGTGACACGCCACTAACCCTGAAATTGGAGATAAAAAGTATTTGTTCAGTTCTTTCCGAACCACTTTATGTATATATTTTGTCTGATTCATAACGGTTTTTGTTTACCTGAGTGATTTGTAAGGAGTTTCTTAAGTTAAAAATTAGTCTCATTATAGACTCATATCAATTATAAACTTCTAATCAATGGACTAAAGACTCGCGATTAAACGGTCATACACTTAACGCGATATCCGAATCCTGGATAGTACTATACTAAAACAGGATATCTTTTTGGTACTTTCTGGTTTTCATAGGTTTTTATAGCTGACATAAGATCACGGTAAAGGTAGTGTTTAAGCGATTATTGCTTACTTTTCATGACAGTTTCTCTTTTATTTGTAGCTTCATTACTGGCTCTTATGATCGTACATGTAAAGTTTGGCAGACCGAAACTGGATCTGAAGTATACACATTAGAAGGACACCGAAATGTGGTTTATGCGATTGTATTTAATTTACCTTTCTCAGGTGAGTTGGGCTTTGTTCTATACATCTTCGGACTTAAATGAAACTAAAATTCTTAAGTTTTATTTAGTGAACATATGGCAATTACCGCAAGTTGGTATATGACGCAATAACTATCTTCTGGATGGGAACTTATTAACTAACATCTTCATTAAGGGTCTACAGTAGTAACTGAGAATAATCAGTCGGTAAGCAAGCTTTCTGTAACTTAGTCATTCAGCGAAATGCAATGTGGAACCTGGCCCATACAAACTGCTGGCCCCGAGAATTATATGAACCTAAATCAAGTAGTCTGTACCTACCCACAGGGCTCAGACCAATAGTCGATGTCTTTATGGACTGATACCAAATCTTGACTTTGTTTCCTTCCGTCTTCTTTCACCTCACTCTTACATTAGCTGTCATTGCACTCGGAAGTAATCAGTGGATAGGTATACTTAATAGGCATCCTAACCGTCTAATCCCATAAAGACCTACGACTCTGTCAACACTTACAAAGTTTAGTGGCTCGCTATCCCACTTCAGTTTAGAGGGATATGCTACGAAATAACTCTTCCCCCCAATTTTCGTATATCAAGCTTAAGCGAAACTCATCTGCGCGGTGGCGGTAATAAGAAGCTAAATACAGATTCAGTTGAATGAGTTTATTTCGTACAACTTTTCGCGCAAAATGACATGAGAATAAACAGTGTAAAAGCGAAGGAAAGTGCACCAAAGTGTGGAATGCGTGTGAGCCAAATCAATGCGATTAGACATGACTAGCTATTTATAGTCAGACAAAAAAAAGATCAGATGTGTGATAAGCGAAGTGAGTAATGCACAACTACTCAAGTAAAAACAACCAAGATATGAGTGAACGATTAACAAGGTTAAAAGACATGCGAATAGTGGCTCGAGCAGAAAAGGTTGATTAGTTTGTCCAAAAGCTGGAACAAACCGTGTGGGTTCAACATATTACTGTGAAACCCCCCCCCTTACTGAAAATTGTACATTAATTTGAAAAAATTTCAGTTTTCGAAAATAAAGCTGAAGAGGTATGGGATTAAGCAGCGAAAAAAATGTAGAGAACAGTGATATATTGAGGAATGAGTGTATAATACAAGTGCCATACTTATGTAACAAAGTTTATTAATATCGTATTGGCGCGAACTTAAATAGAAATGATAGCATGCAACTTTGAACGAATTGATAAACACATTAAAAAAAATTAACACGCATTGATGGTATGATTTTCCGGGCGAGAAAATAACAGTTTTGCATAAGTACTTTAGAAGGGTATGAAAATAACGTGTGATTAATCGTTTATTGTTTATAGGTGTGACAACGGAATACATCGCGAGAGTAAGTAGGCTGAAACAACGAAAATTGATCGCTGGCATTGACAAAATTTGCAAATAAATAATAGTTTAGTATGTACATGTTTTAATAAGTCACATTAGAGTTGAGCGTCAATTAGCGATTAATGATTCTGCATTTACATAGCATAGTTTTTGTACGTAGAGTGAGCTCAATTGGGCAGTTAAATGCTGACTGCATAGGGAATAATATTGATTGTTGTACTGCGCATGATAATAATTGTAAAATATGAAATCGGTATACGTTGTCCTTGGTATTACAGCCAGATGCGTCGAGTTGCTGTTGAATGTAAATTAGAAGAATAACTAGTGAAATAATGACTGCGGAGACAAGATATGCTGAGTGGCTGTAGATACGGTAAAAAAGTTCAGTCGAGATTATCAGTAAGAAAATAGAGAGTAATGATTACTGCGGACAAATGCAGTGCATGAACATTAGTTGCATTTTTAGAACATAAGTTGCTAACATCGAGAGTGACTCCAAACTTATGCTTATGATAGCGCTGCTAATCGTTGTCGGAGTTGGGGTTGTTTAAAACATAGTTTTGTCATCGTGTAGGGTGTTCGGTCAACTGCTTACACTAATCGTTCGTGTGCATGCATGTTTTGCCACACTATCAATTTACTTAGCAGACTGAAAGCTGTTCCGGGTATGAGCAGCTGATAAGTACGTCGGAAATACCTATCATGCGATAATCATATAGCCATTTAAATGAATGGTACTAAATTACTAGACTCATAGAGCCATTGCTATGATATCTGATTCAAAATATACTAGTGACGATTCGTTTTAAAAAAGCTTATTAAGATTAGAAGCATCCATAGACATATGAGACAATATCAGAAAGAAAAATAGGTGTGTATGATACGGTCATGATTCCATGAGTGATTAGTATACTTCCATAATTTTCATGATTTAATGTCAATATGAATAAGGATAATAGTTCCCCCACGATAATACGACAATGGTAAAGATAATGGGGTAGTTCGCGAAAAAAATTAGTGAACCTGGTTGATATATGAACAAAATAACAATGGGATAATAATATGATGCTTTTAAGTACATACCCTAGTTATAATGGCTTCTCTGCATACGTCTGATTCAAAAATGAGTTGTCTGCGTTGATCGCTGAGTCTGATACATTGATTCCATTCATCTAACGCATGGAGTTTGAAATCTCTACTGAGGTAGTTCTGCAGGTTACGTTAAGTTTGAAGTAGGGCTAACTGTTTTTGTGGCCCAGGATCTGACTCCAATTTAGACGAACAACTTAAAGGGTTAAAAGAAATGAGAATAGTAATCCGGGCAGAAGAGGTTAATTAGTTTTTTCCAAAGGTTAGGACACCCAAAGTGAACCCAGCATAATAGTACACACACTACAAAGTATTCTGCTTCTAACCTCAGGATTGTAAACCACATATCTCAAAATTCCATGAGCAATGCTTTAAAGACACCTATGGTCGAATACTAGTAATCTACAAAAATCCTCTACTCTTTCTGACTATAATTCACACTTGTGAGGAATTGTGTAGCGAACTCCTCCTGTACTTGGTAAGTTTTTTGTGTTAGTGTTGACAAGGTTCGAGAACAGGTTCGTTTATGAGTTTGAGACTGATCTTGAATGCAAACACACAGAAAAATTGGGACTGATTAAATAAAGTACACTGGCCTACAAGTTGTGTGTTTGGCTAAATAACTGTATATTTGTATTTCAATCCTGTTACTAATAAGTGCTTCATATCATTAATTATTCAGGTTGTAATTTAAATTGAGCTGTTGTACCTTAAACAATTTTACGACCCCCATAAAGTTCATTTCTGTTTACACGACTATCCGAACCCGACAACTTTTCGAAATTTATGTAGAAATAAACTGGTATTAATTCTCATCGAAACTTCAGAGCTCATGATTAATCTGTTTATCAAAACCTAATGTTATTTACAAAACCATATTAGTATTGCAAAAATATAGCGATATCTACAGTATTTGTTGTGGTTATACAACTGACGAAGTAGGTTTCTTAGAAACAGGTGTTTAAGTTTATTTACGATAACACGATAAGCTACATGACAGCTAACAGCTGTGTCACAAGCACTTAATGATAAACAATATTAAAAGGACAACAAACATCAAAAGTTTAAATATCTGATTACTATACTAGGATAGAAATAAGCTGTATGCAACCATGACAACAGATAAAGTAAATGTTATCAATTTATGAAACTGTTTAAAAACAATAAACAACAGCAAACAGACTATTCGCTCAAAATTTGCTAGAATACAACTAGCTACTGAATATTAGTAAGTAGCATAATGAGATAGAGGATGCAGGATTGGTAACCAGTTTGAATTTTTTGATCTGTTTTCAAAAGCTCAGTGGCATCCACGCCTTCAAAATGTACAGATGAAGAAATCAGCAGAAGAAACGATCAGCTTTTTGGGGTTTTCAGAGCCTTGAGATAACAAAACCGATTTAAATGATGTGGAAGTCTACGTCTACTCTGTCCCTCTATGTTTAGTACTAAAATTTTCTAAATGTATGTTTTTCTTCATGGCTCATAGAAAGGGGTATGAGTATGTTGGTCTGTGGTTGGTTACATTAATTCAAGGATCTTAGTCATACAATATCTGAGAAAATAACTGTATTGTGAGATAATAAACTAATGATGAGGTTCTATCTCGTCAATTAGGATCAAATCTGACCAGTTACCTATGTAAAGTTCCCATACAAGTAATGTTTCGTCAAATGTATCTATATTTTTTGCATCTTTCGTATTAGTGTCCAGCTATTTATACATACACGTGAGTTTTGAATAATAAACTGCATGTGTCAGAAAAAACATAAATGCGTATCAGTTGTTGCAATCAATTAAATTTCCTTTTCATAATTTGTTATTAAGTAACAGCTCTCAATCTGAAGACGTGAAATAATGAAGAATTTGATCGTGATTTGTGCTTTAAGACGAGGATGAACTGAATGAGCAAGAATGAAAACATTCTGTCTAAATGATGCAGAATCTACTTGACTAATTCACCTACTAACAGGGTAATTAGAAGGGGAAAAACTGTAGTGCAAAAGTGCATTATTCACCTTTATACATCTGAGAGATACATAAATCAGTTCTTTTTTCCCACTGGTTAACATTAAGCTAATAATATGAACTGACCACTCTCTAGCTAATCACAGTCTAATTAATCTGGCTATGTCCATAACTATTTTCCAAACTTTACCTGCCCACACCATAAACTAATGTTATAAATGCGTCGTCACACGGAATCCTGTTCATTTTTCAAGCCCCTGAATAAACAGTTTTATGTATTTTCAAAAGCTAGTAAGATAACTGAAAGTCGAAACTTGAAACTGTTGAAGCTAATTGACAGATTTCACTCAAGACTATAATAAACAGTTTACCAGTTAATTGAACTAATAAACAGTGAGCATTGCTTTTAATTTTAGACAGGAAATTTATTGACATGAACAAATAAGAGTACATTCATTATTTTATTGTGATCAATTTTTATATTATTTTATCTTATGACTACATTAAAGATAATATATCACTTGGAGTACTCTGTTACGGTTCAAAAAAAAAAAAGATATCTGATCTTTTGTTTCAGATAAGATTGCAACTGGTTCATTTGATAAAACTGCTCGATTATGGAGTGCTGAAACTGGAAAATGTCATTATGTTCTACAAGGTCATACAGCAGAAGTTGTTTGTATACAATTCAATCCAACTAGTAATCTTATTGCTACAGGTAAATTAGAAAATGAAATGATTTCATTTAAAGTTACATAAATGAATGCTAAATTTTATCTTAATTAGTGAAAATATTTTGCTGCACTTGAGATGGCAGCTGCAATCAGATTAATAGCCCATTTTAGAAATAAATGGTTGGTTGCTACTACACATGATTTTAAATTGGGTTGATTATAGTTTCGTCATTAATGGTTTCGTCTAAACTATTTAAGAATAAAATAAGAAATGAAGGTATTTCTTTCTAACTTTCTGTAAGGTTTTTCCATTAATAAGATGTCTAGAAAAAAGAATGATCTTGCAATTTTCTTTTTCCTTTCGAAAAATGACTATTTTCTAAATTTATCTAAACGTTTCTACTATAATCTGTATTTTGTGTGTGTTTTTTAAAAGTTATGCAAACATCATTCATTTAGTAGTAATAAACTTCTAAATTACTTATCATACTTCTCAATGAACGATTTTCTAATCTCATAAAATAACCCAGCTAGGATTGAACGTAACAACGACCCCGTAGTGACTTGTCTAGACTGTCTGTAGAGCTCCCCGTTGAAAAAAGTTTATATTCATTATACATTTGCGAAAAAGTTCTTTTGAAGAAGAGATTTGGACATCAATTTCCATTTCTTGATTTTAAAGCTCACTACTTTACTGTTTCTTTGATAGTCGATAGATCAAGTAATATCATGAATTAATTCTTCGCTTTCAAATTTTCGATTCTGTAGATAAATTAAAAACTGTGTTTTATATGGTGCTCTGTGACGTAATTGTGTAGTGAGTGACTTTAAACTTTCTACTGATCTTGCGTTTATGCGGTGATATAAGACTACCATTATTTATGATTGAATAAAGTGGTAAACCGATTTATCAACCTTTGATAGACTATCAAGCTTGTATGCCACAGCACCGGAGCGTATGAGAGCTGAGTATGATACCTCAGTAAATGGATGTTAAGGACGTTAGATCCCCAGAACTCACTTGGAAAAGGTCCTGATTTCGGATTTTGATGTTTCCGCACATGAGCTGCTCAGCTGTCCTTCAGATTACATTTTCCACTCCGAAAATCCTTGACTATCATTGGTTGATGGATTATTTTAGTACGTTATTTTCGTAGCTCTACCAAGGACGTTTCTATCATGTATAAATAAGTTTGATTTGTGTACTTGTAAACCTCGTATTTTCTGGGTGGTTTCAGAATACATTGCTCATCAACTATTCTTTCGCTGTATCTCGATCAACATATTAAATTTCAAATTGGTGTGCTCGATTAAAGTTGATCATACGCTTTTATTCGATTTATCTAACAACATAACTAATACATTTGGTTACTTTGAACAGTATGAAACTGAATGTTCAGTTGCATTGATAAATGGATAATCATTTCTTTCAGGATTATAATATAATTATCCCTATACAGAATTTCGATCATCTGAACAAGTTAAAAAATCAATTACTTATAACCCTCGTTTTTATGTTTATATGGTGAATACTATGAAAAGTTAGAAAATATGAAACAATGAATGTAACAGGTAGTTGCATTTACCGCTCATGGTGTTTGATGGTGATGAAAGGAATTACTAACTCATAACAATTACAATTTTACTAATAAGACTGTTAGAAATCATTATTTCACGTCAACTTTATTCTTTTCTTGATTGTCTTCTCCTCATGTTGCACTATATTACACATCATTCACGAGAATGATGACATTCTCTTCATCCGTTTGTATAAAAAACTGATATTCCTTCGATAAAACAAAAGGCTTATTCCATACCGCCCTACTTCCATTTCGATGTTTCTGTTCACTATACAAATTGCGAAGGTATTTCCTCCTCTGTCTTCCTTTTAGTTTCTGTTAAATCTACCAAAACGCATGAAAAAACGGGAGAGATATGCGTGAAATTTAAGTTCAAAACAACGATTCATCTAATGAATGTTTCTAATATTAGAAAATATATGTAATCTAGTCTAAAAAAACCTCAGCTCGTGAAGTATCCATGGCGGTTAACGCCTCTGTGTATATGAATCGGAAAATATTTCCTGAAATTATCAGCCAAAGATTAATTACAACATTTGGTCGCTCAAATGATAGAGCGTAGTTGTCTCAAGTTAAAGGTAACTTTCGATAATAAAACGTAAACTACAAGCACATAATATGGAAGCTGTTCTGTCTAGAAAAAATACTCACTGAATTTGCAAAAGCCGAAAGTAAATACTACAATTGTTGAGGGAATACATTTACAATAACAAATAAAGTGAATGTTGATACTTTAGATTACATGACAAATATACGGCACATTTTAATATCTCCAACTACTCTTTTTGTGTATTTTTTTTATACTACTTATAACTAATGAGTAACCAGTTTATTTCTAAAAACTTTTGAACATTAAGGCTCAATGTAAATAAAGTTTCTTTGTGTATCCGACTCTCTGAGTTTTTATTTATCTTGAATAATTTTCATCCTCTCTAAATGCTGAAATTTTTAACTGGCACAATCATGCACTGTTTTCTGATTTGTCGTTCATTCTAAAGTCCAATACTTATTCGGTCACTTGTGCGGTACATTTTGCTCAGGTTATGTTTCTGATTGCATTATTGATGATTGGACATCTCCCTATTCGAAGTTGCAGATTCATAACAGCGTACATATATAATTCCTTCTAAAGATATTATAGTCGTCTGAAGAAGTAGTTCAATCTAAGTTGCATGAAAAATAATTTTTTATGCTTAATTCGTTGGTGAGTAGTAGTGAGCAAATGTTTTATCAAAATTTATGTTTCGAAATCATATATATTAATGATTAATTTTAGGTAGTATGGATACTCTTGCAAAATTATGGGATGTGGAAACTGGAAGTGAATTAGCTAGTCTAAATGGTCACACAGCTGAAGTTATTGCATTGCAGTTCTCTCAGTGCAGTTCAGTTACAACTTATGGAACATCAAATGGAAATAATGGTCCTTATGCAGATTCTGTGTGCGGAGCAGGTAATGGACGCCTAATGTTAACAGGAAGCTTTGATCATACTGTTTGCTTATGGGATGTAAGAACTGGTGAACGCACACATCATTTAATTGGCCATGCTGCAGAAGTATCCGCTGCCTCATTCACGTATGACACTTGTTTAGTTGCAACAGCTTCAATGGACAAGACTGTTAGGGTAAGTTTGATAACAAACAATTTAATCGAATACTTTAAGATGTATGGTTTACAATTAGAAATGTATCTGCGGTGTATTACTTAATTAAGTTGGAAACATCAGCGGAACCATCATCAAAGACAATAGAGACAACCCTTATCTGTTTAGTTTGTTTATGTAAGTGGATCGAGTAAACATTGTTTTAACCATTCTAGAAAGATTTCAGACAGGTCAAATGTTGTAAAACAATGCTGGTGAATAAGATTTCAAATTCAAATTCATGGTGTGCACTTAGCTCTACTTTCATACTAATTAAAATTATCTCTTAATTATCTTTAACTTTTTATTCAATTTAATAAATACGCCTAGGTGTGGGATACTAGAACTGGTCGTCAACTACACTTACTTACTGGTCATCAGGATGAAGTATTGGATGTAACATTTGATCCTAGTGGTCGACGTTTGGCTAGTGCTAGTGTTGATGGTACTGCAAGAGTCTGGAATGTTGGTTTAAGTGGTGATACGAAAACTACCAAATTCCTCTCTACACTAATAGGACATGAAGGTGAAGTTAGCAAAGTAAGTTTATTTTTCAATCAATGATTATCTCAATTTCCGTTGCACAGTATTTAACCTCTATTTCTTTTTATTCTTATTTATTTCAATGATTTTTGAAAATTTCTGATGATTTTGAATCTTGGCCTCCAGGATAACACGTATAAGTTGCACGTTTATGGTCAAATATATCATGTTGTACAACTAGTAACACTTCGCTATCCGAAAGATTTTGAAAGTATAGCGCTGTCTCAAACTTTTAGCTCGCTGATTTCATCCACTCCTTTTAGACAATATTTTTGATTAGCTTTCCCACAACAATTTAGATTATCTTCAATAGCGAGTGCGTATTATTCTATGAAACTAAATCTACGAGAACTGCGTAGGATAGACGATTAACGCTAAACGCATTGTCAATGATCGTCATGGGAACAAGAAAAAAAGAGTATCCACGACCTTATTGGCTCTATATTCAGCGAAGTCGAAATTGTGATCTGATAACTCTATGTATGCACAGACAAATATGACTTTCAGGTTCATAGTCAAAGTAGCAGACTAAAATATGGATGACCAATCAGAGCCTCCCGGCAAGTGTCAGTGGGGAAGCATGAATTTGAAGGTTAACACAGTTGTCTTTACATATAATGACTGTTATTCAATGTAATACGTTAAAGCTAACTTATAGAGGCAGAGTTGGTGGATTATTTATAACTCTAGGACTAGGATTTAGATTTTAGTATTAGAGGGGAATAGTTTAGGTTCAAGGGTTACAGTCCGGATCAGGATTTCAGATTCAGGTTTATTCTTTAAAATTTAAAATTCATGTTCAAATTTAGGACTATGAACTATTCATTCTAAACCTGAATCCTTATTCTAATTCTAAGCCCATAGCTCTCTAACTTGTGGTCTGGGATCCTAACAGAGACTCCTGAACCTTAATCTTAACGCTAACCTTAAATTCAAAACTGTAAATCCTGATTCTAATGGTATGATTTTAATCCTGAGCATAACCTAAAGTATCTAGTATTATATATCTATAGTAATTTTTATATCAGCCATTATTTTTATTGATTTTATTAATCATTTTAACTAGGTATGCTTTAATTCACCTGGTAATCTAGTGTTAACAGCTAGTTCAGATAAAACAGCACGTCTATGGGACGCAGAAACTGGTGAATTAAAAGATATTCTATCTGGACATACAGATGAAGTATTCAGTTGTGCTTTTAATTATGAAAGTGACACAATTATAACTGGATCTAAAGATAATACATGTCGTATATGGAAATAACATTTTTAACAATAATGAATATCATGAACTTTCCTCCATTTTTTTTTGTTACTTGAATTGCTTAATTTTCTTGAAATTACTTTTTAAAAAAAATTGCATTTTTTTTTTGTACATTCAATAACCTCGATGTTGTATTATTTTACTTCGATCGACATACATCTAATATACATCATTCATATATAGTTAGTCGTGCACTTATTAAAATTTAAAAAAATGAAATTTAAAAAATGAAATATTCAGTCCATTTAAACTTGACAGGACATAGATTGTAAGAAAATATTTTATCTAAATTTTTAATGATAGCTAGTAGTGAATGTTATGTACCTTTAATCCAGTATCCGACTTAGTGCTCAAAACTAAATATCTATAACTATTTTATTCAGTAAGGTACTTTCTGTGTGACATACTGTCATGAATAAATGGACAGACCGATTAAATTCAGTAAATCCATTGATATGGACCAACTGCAAATATGATCATTGATGTCATTCCCTTACACCAATCGAATAGACTTCACCTAGAAAAGATTACTAGTCATTTGAATGTGTATATGTTTTTATTGGTATTAGGGATGTTAGATCCCCAGAACTCGCTTGATAAATGCCTTATCTTGGATTTCACGTTTGCGAGTATGGGTTGGTCAGTTGTTACTGGAGCAAAAGTCCCCAGCAGAAATCCTGATGGGAAGAAGACTGAAAACGATCCACAGCCTGATGCATCTGACTAATGCACCAAAATCAGTAAAGACAAGGCCGCAAAGGCAACCCTATTACGAAGTGGGATGCCCTGTGTTGTTCTCCCGTGACTACAGAACGAACCATAGTCCCTTGCTTGATAAATGCCTCATCTTGGGTTTCACGTTTGCGAGCATGGGTTGATCAGTTGACCTTGAGATTTCATTTCCCACCAGAAAAACCCTTGGCTGTGATCGGCTGCTGCGTATCTTAGTGTGCTTTTTTTGTGACTATCCCAAGGACGTTTCTATGATGTGTAAATAAACGAGAGTTATGTGCTTGATTGTATTGTGATTGCTAGGTGTTTGTAGAATATACTTTCTACGCTTACAAAGCCTTCTGTCTTCAGCTTGGGATTCAAGGTAGCCTATCTGGACGCTGGTAATTGTCTCGTTCGCGTTTATCGACTAAGGTGAACTCGTAATAGCTTCAAGCGTACATCGTGACGAACTTAACAACTGGTAACCTCAGAGTAGTGTGCATGCAAGAGAGTGAACACAAAAAGTGGAAGTGGAAAGGAGATAGCGTTAATAAAGGCGACCATCTAGACAGCAATTTACCAATGTACTGCAGACGTGAATGTTTCATTCTTAAATTTATGTACCAGTTTAACATGTCTAAGTGTATACATTCACACTAGATTCTTTGTCTTGTAACTTCAACAGTCTAGTACAAATGTATCTCCATATTCCTCTACAACCAGTGTGATGTTTGCCTCTACCTTCCTATACCTTAATACATATGTTTTGCAAAATCCATAGAACGAATTATTAAATTCTCAATGCATTTAAACTCCGTTCTTTCTTCAGAGCATCATCAATGACTGTTGATATTATTTATGAGAGTGTGTGGTTTAACAAGCTGGATAAAATCTCTCTGTCATCTATCTACCATAGCGTTTGTTTTATAAAGATTTTTCTTGTTGAAGATTAAGGTATTCACAAGCGTTCTTTAGAGAATTATATGACCAAGGCCTACTCGCCTCGTAAGTATTTCAATCTATATGTCCTTAAAATAATTCTCTAGCACCGGTTAACAACTTGAATAAATAAAGAACAAATATCGTAGCAGGGGGAAGTTAAACACAGTTCGGCCAACATTCTCTTTACTACTCTGGCTAATCTTCTTCGAATTATCACCAAACGGCTGTCCAGTGCTTCCAGGTTTCTAATCCAGGTCTAACAATGATTGATGATTTCATTGTGCAGCAAATTATAATATGAAATATCATTAGGTTCATTATCTAGTTGAGTGCAAACATCAACAAAGACCTCATCAAATAAAATGTTTCGCTACCATTTAGGAATACTGAAAAAAATATTTATACACAATGTTGGGGACGTTAAATCCCCAGAACTCACCTGGAAAAGGTCCTAATTTGGGATTTTAATATTTCTCGCATAAGCTGCTCAGTTGTACTTCAGATTACATTTTCCACTCCGAAAATCCTTGACTATCATTGGTTGATGGATTATTTTAGTACGCTGTTTTGTGGCTCTCCTAAGGACGTTTCTATCATGTATAAATGAGCGCGATTTGTGTGCTTATCGACCTCATATTGTCTGGGTGATTGTAGAATACATTCTCTACGCCTTACCAAGACTTTTGACTACAGTTAGCAGGGCCTGGGACAATCAAATCAGAATAGCCTATCGTGTCACTGCATGGATCGTCTTCGCTCCATTTACCAACTAAGGTGAACTCGTAGTAGTTTCAAGCATATCAATTGGCGACGCGGATGGGATTCAATTCAAGCTTAATAAAGGCATTCTTAGAAAAATTTAAAAAAATAGCACAATAAAACAGAAAACCAACCAATGACGTTTAAGTTCCTTCCAAATGGGAAATAAACTGAAAGTGTGATAAGGGACCTTTTCGGCATGAAAATAAAAAATTCAAATTTTCAAAATTAAATTGTAAAATTAAAGGTTTACCAAGTGATTTATGCGGATCTATCATCCCTTAAAATAAATGTCAAATCAGATAAGAATGCCAAATCATTGAAATACAACTTGAACTCTCTGGAACCTAGAATTTATTTTCAAACAGTTGAGTTGCTTTATAAAAGTAGGATTAACCTTATACCAATTCAATAGGTAGCTCAATTGTAATATAACCTTCAAGAGTGAGAACAATTATATCATTATTACCAGATATTCCTATTCAGGCATATCATTATACATTCAAATAGCTTGTCAGTGTGCTGATCAACTATAGAATTAATTGAATATTTTAGTATATTAACGAATAGAATCGGATAGATTTAATAAGTCACAGTATTCAAGTGTTGTTAATGGGCATTAATTAAATGAAAACAGTTGACATACTTTGAGTAATGCAAGAACAATTAACGTAGCAGAATAACATGAATTCATTATATTCCGCAATTTCTCATCAGATGCTTACATTAAAAAAAAACCAGTGTACATACTTTATTACATAGTATCGGAAAACTCCTCATCAATGAAGAGAAAATGAATAAAAGTAATAAAGACTATAAGAGATAATATTCATTTACGAACTAATATTTGTATGTGTAGGTTGAATATGAGAATATCCTAGAATCACACAAATCGTCATTAGGCCTTACCTTAATATACATGAAAATGTATTTGAAAAAATATTAAACCAATCATGGCAATCTATGAGTTACTACTTATGACAATGAACTCGATTAGGTAACTACACATAATAGGTAAAAGTACAAGTTGATAGTATGAAGTATAAAAGTGTACTTTTAGTATGTTAAGAATAATAAAAAATATAATAACAAAAGTTTTTGTCAATAGTTCAAACATTGGGAGTAGTTGGTCAAACTTGTATAAATAGACTTAAAATACACAATAAGAACAGAGTAAAATAATTAGATGGTGAAGACTATGAATGGAAAGAGGTGAAAAAATGACAAAAACTACTGAGTATGGAAATAATACTAATAATAGTAAATAAAATCGTTTATTAAGTTTTATCTGGCCAAAGAAGGGACACGGGTGTCATGAATTCCTTCTCAGAACACAATAGGGGTTATATATTCAGATTCCTATGGCTTCTACTACATGTTTGTGACTCGATCGAACTCCATTAGGAAGTGACTGAGGCATAAAATAGATTACTCAAAATGATTCGGTTTTATCTATATTATGACCACTATCAATTAGGTGTGTCGAAATAGAGCTGCGTATTGTATTTATCTAGCCTTTTCGAAACCACGCTGGATATATTAAGTCACTCATTGAATAAGTCGCCTGGTAATTACTTATTAACTTACTTACACCTGTTACCCCCTATATAGCATAAGCTGCCAATCAGCATTCTCCAACCTACTCGCTCTGTGCTTCTCTAGGTCGATCCAATTACTTGCCATTATTCTTGTGTTTGGCTACATTTCTCGGCGTAATGTGTTCCGTGGATTGTCTCTTTTCCTTTAGCTTTGAATATTTCAATGAAGGCTTCTCTTGCGACGCAAGTCGGTGCTTTCCTCAATGTGTGTCTTATCCACTTCGTGTGCATTTTCTTAACCTTCTCCTAAACAAAAATCTGGTTTGTTCTCTCCCGTAGAAGGTTGTTGCTGTGGTTCACCAAGTTTCTGCCCCATACAGTGCAACTATCTCGACATTTGTACTGACTCTCGTGTTGGTTGACAGTGTGGTGTGTCGAATTACTGCGTGTTCTTAAGCTCGGTAATTAACTCGTCCAGACGATCGTCACTAAGTAGCATCTGACGGTTTATAAATCAGAAGATGAATTCGTAGTAATGAATACGTTTATTCACAAAACACCACAAAGCGAAGCGGAGAAGCAGTGAATAAAACGAATGGGCGAAGCGAATTAGAGAAGGCTAAGAGCTAACCCAAAGAAATAGAACATGACTAAGAAAATATAGTCAGACAAAATAAGACAGACATACGACAAGCGAAATAGGTATGCACAGACATGAATAAAAGCGACGAATGATTGACAAGGTCAAATGACAAGTGGGACATGTCATATGAGCTCATACAAACCAGACAATAAAAAATACCAATGGTACATAAGAGTTGTTGCTATACAAATGGCTCGGTTAAATAAATTAATCGAAAGGGCCTAACCAAGTTAGATGTAAGCGAACTGGAATATATGTGGAGGCACTACAACTGATGATTTGAGTTCCAGGATGTTCCACAATTGTAGAAATACTGCCATTGCTTTGTCAATCTGTGTCTTGACATTTGCACCGAATCCACCTTCTTCGTCAATGATGTTGCTCAGACATGTAACGGTTTCTACATATACCAAAGCTTCTTCATCAAGTGTAATTTCGTTGGTGTATGTTGTGTTGTATCCAAGGGTCTTCTTTTA